TGAGAGGAGGGGTCCATTCAGAATGATCGAGGGGTTTGGAATTTTATTTTTGTTTGCAGTATGCAAGTTTTCGTGTGAACATATTTTTTTTGGTGTCTCGGATAAATTTCTAGAAGTTAAGTGTATACTTAATTTTCAAAGAAACTGCCAGACTGTTTCCCAAAGTAGTTGTACAGTTCCTATCAGCAGCATATGAGAGTCTAGTGGCTCCATATCTTCAATGTCTTAGTCTGTTTACGATACTGTAACAAAATACCTTGGACTTGGTGATTTATATATAATATAAATGTATTTCTCATGGTTCTGGATGCTGGGAAGTTTAAGATCAAGGCACCAGCAGATTCACTGTCTAGTGAGGGCTGCTGTCAGACTTCAAGCTGGTGCCTGGTTACTGCATCCTTACACATGGCAGAAGGCAAAGGGCAAAAGGAATGACCACTGTGTCCTCACATAGCAGAAGAGATGTCAGGGATAGAAGGGATAAACTCTGTATGAAGCCTCTTCTCTGAAGGTATTTATCCCATTCACACAGGCAGAGCCCTCATGACCTAATTGACTCCTAAGGGAATTGATACTATTATATTGGCAAATTTCAACATATGAATTTTGGGGGATAAAATTCCACTGTTGGACCCCCTCCAAATTTTTTGTTCGTCTCACTTGCAAAATACATTTATTCCATCTCAGTAACATCAAAAATCTTAACACGTTCCAGCATCAACTCAAAAATCTGAAGTCCAGACTGTCTTCTAAGTACCATCTCAATTAGATATGAGTGAGACTCAAGGTCTGATTCATCCTAAGGCAAAATCCTCTCTGACTGTGAACCTGTGAAATTAAACAAGTTGTGTGCTTCCAAAATATAATATGGAACAGGCATAAAATAGACATTCCTATTCCAAAAGGGAAAAATAGGAATGAAGAAAGGGATAATAGTTTCCATGTAACTCCATAATCCAACAAGGCAAACAGTATCACATTTTGAGGCTTGAGAAGAATCTTTGACTCCATGTCCCACCTTTTGGATACCTTGAGGCCCAGGTTGGGGCCTTACTCACAGGTTGGAGTCTGGTGCCTGTGACTCTCCTAGGCTGGTGTTGTACACTGGTGGCTCTAATGGTCTCAGGAGAGCTTGCCCCTAGGGCTCCACTAAGCATTGTCCTAGTAGAGACTCTTTGAGATGGTCCTGCCCCTGTGGCAGTTCTCTGCCTGGGCCCAAGGCCCTCCCAGAACATCCTTTGAAACCTACATGAAGGTAGCTATGCCCCCATAATTTGTGTACTCTGTGCATCTGCAGACTTCACACCCTGTGGATGCTGCTAAGGTTTACCACCAGTGCCTTCTGGAGTGGTGGTCATTGCAGACTGCAAGCCACACATGGAGTGGCTGAGGAACACTGTGCCAGAATGTAGAAGCAGAAACTTAAGGTGGCCCTGGGCAGCAAACCACAAGGTCCCATGGGCCTTTGAGATAGTTCCTCCTTCAAGGCCCTGGTACTCTGGCCCTGTGATAGGATTGGCAGTTCTGAAGATCTTCAAGATGGCTTTGGAATCATTCTCCCATTTTGTAGGTGAATAGCATCTGGCTTCCTTATGTTCATACCTAATCTCCTTAACAAACAGTCCCTTGGTCACACTCTTGGTGTTCTCTTCTGAACATGCCTTTGCTTTTGTTACAAGCTGAGAATTTTTCAATTCTGAGATCTGCTTCCTTTTGATTCTAAATTCTGTTTTTAATTCATTTATCTCCTCTTGCATTTGATTATAAGAAGTCAAGAGAAGCTGTGCCACACCCTTGACACACTGCTTAGAGATTCTTTCTCCAAATATCCTAGTTTGTCATTCTTAAATTCTGCCTTCCACAAAGCACTAGGTAGGGGACACAATTCAGCCAAATTCTTTTCCACTTTATAACAAGATGGCCTTTCCTCCAGTTTCCAATACCTTGTTTCTCATGCCTAACTGAGACCTCATCAGAATTGCTTTTACTGTCCATATTTCTATAACATTCTATTCATGACCACTTAGATACTCTCCAAGATTTAAGTTCTCCCTACAGCTCTCTTCTGAGCCCTCATAGGAATTGCCCTTCATGCTTAGTTCGAGGCAATCTAGGCTTTTTCTAACATACATCTCCAAACTCTTCCAGTCTCTAGCCATTACCCAGTTCCAAATCCATTTTCAAATTTTTAGATATATTATTTTAGTAGCATCTGAATTCTCAGTACCAATTTATGTCTTAGACCATTTGAGTTGCTATAACAAAATACCACAGACTAGGTGATTTACAAATAATAGAATTGTATTTCTGATCATTCTGAAGGTGGAAAAGTCCAAGATCAAGGTACCAGCAAATTCAGTGCCTGGTAAAGACCTACTCTCCTTCATAGATGGTGCTTTTGCTGTGTCTCCACATAGTAAAAGGAATGGAAGGGCTAAAGTGACTGAAGTGCTATCTTTAATTTTGCTTATAAAGATCATTGAGCCGGGCACGGTGGCTCATGCCTGTAATCGCAGCACTTTGGGAGGCCAAGGCGGGTGGATCATGAGGTCAAGAGATCGAGACCATCCTGGTCAACATGGTGAAACCCCATCTCTACTAAAAATACAAAAAATGAGCTGGGCATGGTGGCGCGTGCCTGTAATCCCAGCTACTCAGGAGGCTGAGGCAGGAGAATTGCCTGAACCCAGCAGGCAGAGGTTGCAGTAAGCCAAGATCGCGCCATTGCACTCCAGCCTAGGTAACAAGAGCAAAACTCCATCTCAAAAAAAAAAAAAAAAAAAAGATCATTGATACCATTTTTGAGAATGGAGCTCGAGTGAACAAATCACCTCCTAAAGACCACACCTGCATCTCTGAATATAATTACTATTGTTGATTAAGTTTCAACTATGGATTTTGAAGGAACATATTCAGATCACAATAGTTATCAACACTTGATATTGTCAGTCATTTTAGTTTTAGTCAATTATTGGTATTGTAATTGTATTTAATTGTGGACTTAGTTTGTGTTTCTCTGATGACTAATGATACAGATCATCTTTTTATCCACACATACATGCTAAATCACTATCAGTGTACATAACATTAATATTGATTATGAGTTTCAGTACAAACAAAAAAGATAAGGCCACAAGTGAAAGGAGAAATTGCTGTGAAGTTTCTATATTTCTGTATTTATTATATTTACAATATAAATAGAAACTACAACAACGAATACCCCTTTCAAGTATCATCTTTTTGCTTGTACTGGAACATATATGTATATGTACAATGAACATATACATGTTACAAACATATACAAATGAACATATACATATATATGTTCCACAGTTCCAGTACACACATATGTACAAATATATACAAACAAACACATACATATATATGTTCCACAGTTCCAGTACACATATATATGCAGAATATTTAATAAGCAGAAAATATATTAATAAAATCATATATCTTTAATCTTTTCTGACTCTGTTAGGTCATTCTCATGAAGCTAATTAAGACATAACCAAGACTGCATAATTTATAAAGGAAAGAGGTTTAATTTGCTCACAGTTCAGCATGGCTGGGGGGGCCTCAGGAAACTTATAATTGTGGCAGAAGGGAAAGCAGGTACGTCCTTCTTAACATGGCAGCAGCAAGAAGTGCAGAGTGAAGGAGGGGAAAGGCTCCTTACAAAACCAACAGATCTTGTGAGAACTCACTCAATATCACAAGAAGAGTATAGAGGTAACCATCCCAATGATTCAATTACCTCCTACCAGCTTCCTCCCACAACAAATGGGAAATAAGGGAACTACAATTTAAGATGAGATTTGGGTGGAGACACAACCAAACCATATCACTGACCATTGAGTATATTATTAATTTTGTATGTAGATTCAATGATTCAACTACTATATTATTATCTTTCTATGTAGATTCAATGAATCAACTACTTAAATATGTCTAGGCTACTAATAAACCTTCCTGGATGAATAACAGATGAACAACTGAATATAAGTGAAAACAGATGGCCTTAAAGAAGAGTATTCAGGATTGTCATCAGCCCTTCACAATCACTACGTTTTCTCTAATAAGCTCATATACCCATAGCATATTTCCAAAGTTTATTGATTTCTGTATAAAGTAATGATTATGATCTCATAGAGTTCAGGATTGCTTACCAAAGAGCATACCTTCTTAGGATGATGCCCTTTCAAAGGAGCTGGTGCCCCCAGGAACACTGGGAGAGAGAGGCATACAGATGTATTACATTCTTAGCCTAAACTCTGCTTTATGATCTCAGAATCTTCCAAACTTTTACTTTTTCCAAATATGAAAATCTGTTGTCACTCTATGATCCAGAGACATAAGGCAAGCAGAATTTGGTATCTGGATACCAAACACTCACATAGTATTTGGGATCAAGATTTTTATGCCTTTAAAAAATATATTTGTGGATTTGACCTATTGAGATACATCAGTATTCCTATGCATATACACACATATTTGCATGGTGAATAATAAACAAAGAAGGGTAGTATAATTCTTACAAAACACAGAACAATGGTTTCTGCTGTTGAGCTATTTGCTTTGGATTTGATGTGTCTATAAATGGCTGTATAAAATATGTTTTAAGATGGGGAGAGATAGCCTGGGGAGAAATGCCAAATGTGGGTGAAGGGGAGGAATGCAGCAAAACACACTGCCATGTGTGTACCTATGCAACTATCTTTCATGCTCTGCACATATACCCCAAAACCTAAAATGCAATAAAAAAATGTATGTTTTAAGAAGTGATAATAGGTTAGATATTATGCAACTGAATGTGGCAACTAGGCCTATGGTATATTACCAGGTTTTTACCTTCACTGAGCAAATCATAGAAGAAAGTGGAGAATTCATTTCATATCTTTATCTGTACATATTCCATATTGATTTAACTACTTAAATAATCTCATGGGTATATAGCTCTTACTTCATCTCTATCTTTTTCCTGACTTCTCTGATAGCTTAGGAGAGAAGGAAGATGTGTTCAGATGCATATGCAAAGACCTGCCAGAACACACACAAATGAGAGAATGGCGAAGGAGTAATCAGGTAATGAGAAGAATTAATAATTCGTTTTGCGTAGAAGTCAGATATACAAGCATTAAAATATATGCCTATTATAACCACTAAAATTATGGTTCATTTTGATGGAAAACATTCTGCTGAAAGTCTAATATCAGGCAATTGTTCACCAAGCAGGATCATAGTAACTCTTATCTGTGCTTTCTATGTATTTATTTTTCTGATTAATTGTGCTAGTTATGGTAAGCATTCATTAGTCACTCTATATAATGTATCACAAAATGTAACATGAGTAAAGGCAAGTTATTAGACCTTAGTACCAAAAAGTATTTGAAAATTCAGAGTGTTTATCTCTTCCTTTATAACATGTGGCTTCATCTTATTTATGCTGTTGCATCTGGAGTAGTTCAGTATGTTTGCAATAAAGTTACTTAAGTTTACACATTATGTAGGAATGTATTATCATTGCATAAACTCTTAAAGCACAAGTTTCTCTAAAAATTATCATTATATTAAAAAGCATTAGTTTTAAAATAATGTATATTTGGAAGTGCCCTCAATTTGGAACTAATGTGTTGTATTAAAATAAGCTGCTGGCTTTTTTTTTTAAAGAGTAAAATTTGCTTGATTTTTCCCACTCTAAAACGTAGTAAGTAGTTTTCTAAAGATGACCTCTCTTAATAGATGTTTTATTCTAGGCCTTTTTTTTAGGATGCATGTTTACATAGCTGTGATTCTGCACACGGTTCCTATTTTGCATTTCAAACTTGGAATTAAACACATTTTCCCTATAATACTATAAAAATTACATACATATAACTTAAAAATGTAACTGTGACATAATTACTTCAGTTAATACTGTAATATTGCACACTTCAGTTTGGTGTTAAAAAATACTTCAGCACATCTCTTACTACATGAAGCTGTTTCCCAAATTTCAGATTATTTTATTTTGTTAGAGTATCAGTCACCTTCACGGCTTTAGTGGCTGGAGATAAGAGATTTATTGCAAGGAGCTGGCTTATATGATTATTGAGGCTAGCTAGGCAAGTGTAAAATCCACAGGGAGGATGTTGGGAAGGGCAGTCTGGAACTCTCTTGCATAGGCTGAAACTGCTGTCTAAGGCCAGATGAGGTGGCTCATGCCTTTAATCCCAGCACTTTGTGGGGCCATGATGGGAGGATTGCTTGAAACCAGGTGTTCCAAGCCAGTTTGGCCAACAAAACCAGACTGTGTTTGTATAGAAAAAATGAAGGAAGGAAAGAAGGAAGGAAGGAAAGAAGGAAGGGAGGAAGGAAGGAAGGGTGGGAGGGAGAGAGGAAGGAACTGATATCTATAGGCAGAAATGCTTCTTCAAAGAAGCCTAACTCTACATTTAAGCCATTTTAACTGATTGAGTAACACTCACTGAGTCTTATTTAACTGATTGAATTCTGCTTATGGTAATCAATAATTTCCCTCACCAGAGTCAACTGATTATAGATGTTAATCACATCTAAAAAATAATATCTTCATAGCATCACCTACCTACGTGTTTGGGAATAAGTGGGAACTATAGTCTAGCCAGGTTGACACATAAAAGGACAATCACAGTTAAATTCTCAGAAATAGAATAGCTGAATCAAAGGGAGTAAATTTTTTATTTTTTCCAATGTTTATAAAATTGTAGACCATTTTTAGAGCAGTTTAAGCTTCACAGCAAAATTGAGAGGAAGGTACAGAGATATCCCATATACTTCCTGTCCCCACACATGATACCTCCCTCATTACCGAAGTCCTTCACCAAAATGATACATTTGTTACAACTGATGAAACTGCATTGATACATCATTGTCACTCAGTGCCTATACTTTACATAAGGGTGTTTATGTTTTTTTTTGTATTGAACATTCTATGAGTTGGACAAACGTGGATAAAATGACATGTATCCATCATTATAGTATCATACAGTCTTTTCACTGTCCCAGAAATCCTCTGTGTTCTGCCTGTCCATCCCTCCTGCCCCCCACACCTCTTGGCAACAACTATTCTTTTTATTGTCTCTATAATTTTGCTTTTACCAAAATGTTATATAATTGGAATCAAACAGTATGTAGCCTTTTCAGATTGGCTTTTTTTTTTAACTTAGTAATAGCCATCTGTATTTCTTCTTTTTATTTGAACATTTTGTTATGTTTTTTTTTAAAAGTAGACATTTTCTACTTCAAGAGAAATAATACATTCCAAAGCTAAATTATATACCTCAATGTTTCATTGATCACTTTAATAATTTCACTTACTATGTTTTTTAGAATTCCCTACACATAACCTGCTCCTGAAAACTGCCAAGAATCTCTGACTGGTTTGTTTTATGTTTCAGTTTCCCACATTGAGGGATATACACATGAAAGTCATTCTTTGGCAATTATATTTTTTAAAACACCATGTACCAATTACATCTCTATGAATTTGGTCCACGTTATGCAGAAAAACATATATCTTCTAGTCAAGTATTGTCTATTGTGAATTGAACAGTTTTATTTAAAAAATCAAAGACTGGTCTACTACATTCATAAAAAGTAAGTGGTTAAGAGGGTAACCACGCACACTGGGGCCTAGCAAAGGGCAGAGGGTGGGAGGAGGGAGAGGATCAGAAAAAATAACTAATGGATACTAGTTTTAATACCTGGGTGATGAAATAATCTATATAACAAACCCCATGACACATGTTTACCTATGTAACAAACCTGCACATCCTGCACATACATGGCTAAACTTTAAGTTAAAAAAAAAAGGAAGAGGAAAGACTGAGGAATCACTTAAAGTGTAAAATGCAATCTAGTAAATCACATTGATCAGTGAATAAAAGTTAAAAACTACACTGTTTTATTGGGCCTTTCTTTAATTTACAACAACAAAGTTAAATATATAAGAAAAATAAAATGAATCTTTACCCAATGAAATAATAATGCAATTTTACCAGATATTGGAACAATTATGTTCCAAAAATTAAGAGGCAGTATGTCTACAAAATCTTTCCTAGACATAATTGTAGGTGAAAGGGTCATCATGTACTTGTTCAATAAATATTTACAGAATATCTTGCTGCAAGTGATGGGGTACAATACAGAATGAAGCAAAAGTGGAAAATCAGCTTCTGATCCTCCTCTCTCAAACTCTTAATGGTTTTGCTCTTATCCTCTTGAACTACAGCCCTAAGAATGCACAGGAAGCAGGTCCCTAATTGGAGGATGAGATACCATGGATCAGAGACGAGCCAACCAGCTGAGACCCCAGAAAAACCAGCTGAGAGCCAGCACCCACCACTACCTGTGAGGGAGGTGACTGAGCTGTTGGAGACCCCAGATATGACAGCAAAATGTATGACCCCAGTGGAAGAGCAGCCTAGCCCACCGAATTATGAGCAAATAAAACAAATATTGTTGGAGGCCACTAAACTGTGGGTTGGTTGATTTGTTACAAAACAAACTCTAACTTACACAGAAGAACAGTTAGGCAGACAAAGAAGAAAATTATGAAACTTGCAAATTTTTGTCACCTTTTGATCTGTCAGTTGTCCAATGTGTCTCTTCACGAGTACTGCAATGTTGCATGTAGAATTAGAATGCGGGCTGTACTTTATTGAAATGATCTCATTCTGAACATTATGCCCCAGGGTAATGATTTTTAAATGGCTACTAGAATCTTGGCAGATGTCCACGGTGAACATCCCAACATATTTGGGCAGAACTAAATCAGCGCTCCAACATCTTCTCCATCTTTTAATGGCTCGAGAATTCCTTTCATTCTAACACCAAATAATATTCCATCATCTGGAGGTATGGCAGTTTATTTTTCTGTCATCTACTGAAGAACATCTTAATTGCTTCCAAGTTTTGGCAATTATGAATAAACCCGTTATAAACATAGGTTCTTGTGTGGATATAAGTTTTTAACTTTTCTTGGCTAAATACCAAGGAGCATGATTGTGGATTATACGGTAACCACGTTTAGTTCGTAAGACACTATCAAACTGTCTTTGAAAGCATCTATCCCATTTTGCATTCCCAGCAGCAATGAATAAGAGTTCCTATTACTTTATAAACTTTTCAGCATTTGGTGTTATCAGTATTCCGAATTTGGCTATTCTAACAGGTGTGTATCTCTTTGTTGTTTTCATTTGCTTTTTCCTGATGACTTATACTGTGAGGCATCTTTTCTTATGCTTATTTGCCATCTGTATGTCTTCTTTAGTGGGATGTCTATTAAGGTATTTGGCTCATTTTTAATGTGTTTCTGATGACTTATACTGTAAGGCATCCTTTCTTATGCTTATTTGCCATCTGTATGTCTTCTTTAGTAGGATGTTCATTAATGTCTTTGGCTCATTTTTCATGTTTTTTTTCCATATTTTTGAATGTTAAGAGTTCTTTGTATATTTTAGGTAACAGCCATTTATTAGATATGTCTTCTGCAAATGTTTTTTCCCAGTCTGTAAATTATCTTTCATTTTCTTGGCAGTGTCTTTAATAGAGCAGAAATTTTTAATTTTAAACAAGTCCAGCTTATCAGTTCTTTCTTTCATAAATTGTGCCTTTGGGGTTGTAGACAAAAAGTCATCACCAAATCCAAGATCAACTAGATTTTCTCCTATGTTATCTTCTAGGAGTTTTATAATTTTGAGTTTTACATTTAGGTCTGTGATCCATTTTGGCTTATTTTTTGGGAAGAGTGGAAGGTTTGTGTCCGAGTTCACTTTTTTGCACTTGCATGTCAATTGGTCCAGAGCCATTGGTTAAAAAGAATATTACATATTTTAAAATTCTTTTTCTAAAAGGTCATCACAATTTTCTCTACTTTCTCATTCTATTCCTGCCTTCCCTTTGAGTAAATACCAGACTGCCCACCTTGCTATGCTATGAATCAATGGAATCAATAACAGTTGAGTGTGTCCCTAGCATTTAAAAAGTGCTAGTGTCTCAAGATAGGCACAAAATGTCTTGGCAATAAGTGTTTAAGGACCTTTCTTTTCCAGGACAGTTTGCCT